CGAGAACTACCATTGCCAGCCTCCAGATGAGGGCTGGAGATCACCCAGAATTACAACTGCTGTCCAGGTGATAGAGATTAGTTCCCCTGGATAAAATGGCTGCTTTGGAGGGTTGAGTCTATGGAATTATACCCTGCTGTGGCTGTTTGCCTCCCCAAGCCTCCCTGTCCCGAGGCTCCACCCCCAAATCTCCAGGAATTTCCCAACCTAGAGCTGGCGGCCTTAAGGTGAATTGATCTCTGTAGCTGGGAGATCTGTTATGATTCCCGGAGAGCTGCCACTGCTGCTGTGGGGGGAGAGGGTGCAGGTGGGTGACTGGGAGCACTGCCACCACTGCTGCTGTTGTGCGGGGTGGGGGAGGAAGCAGGCAGGAGGCTGGGAGAGTGATGGAGGGAGAAAGAGAGAGTGAAGGAGGCAGAAAGAGATAGAAAGAGTGATGAGGTGGGGAGGCAGAAAAACAAAGATAATGGTGAGGGGGGATAAAGAGAGAGGAAGTAACATGCATGGAGGAGAGACAGAGAGTAAGAAAAGGGGGGACAGAAGAAAGAGTATGAGAGAGGTAAGGGAGGGGGAGGAAGCAAAGGTATGAGCAGGGGTCATTTTGTAAAAAAAGAGGTGCAGGAGCTCACTTGCATATGCCACACCCCTTGCAAAGGGCAGGCATGTTTAGAATGCCTTTCTCTCCCTCCCCCATGTGGGGAAGGGAAAGAAAGGCATTTAAATTCCCTCCCTTCCCTGAATTTCTCTGCAAAAGTGGAGAGGCTCAGGGGAGGGGAGGGCAGGGAGGCAGACATGCCTGGATTTCCTGCCCAATGTTTTGATTTTTTCTCCCCACTGTTCTCCCCCATACTTTAATTCAGATTTTACTGCAATGGCTGAGACTGGGTTTCTTTGTACAGTAACTCCGGCTTGTATGAGCCATTTGGTTGCCTGTAAGTCTCTCCTCCAGGTGACCACACAGGAAAAAGTATTAACTGTACTTGAAACTATAACTTATCACTGTACAGTAAAAATCTGGAAGTTCAACTAACTTCCTGTGTGATTTGGGTAAAAGTTACTAAAAACTTGTGATTTCCTACATTATACTTGTATATGCCACATGTTATAATTGTGCCACCCCCATACCCAGTTTCCACTAGCCAGAGTATTTTGGCAAGCACACACACACAGCTCAGAACTGAACATGTTATGCAATTACTAAAAAAAGCCACAAAATTCTGAGAACAACAAGAACTCTCTTTTCATGTGTTACAAAAGCAGCTCTTAATTAAGCCCTTAATCATTAGAAACTCCACGCCACATGAAAGCACCAGCAACAGACAGAAGATGTGTGTGTTCTCTTGGAATCTTATGTGGCAAAGAAGTACTGGATTTTTTGTAGCTGTTAATCTACTTGTACAAGGTCACTTTAATCGTATGTTTAATTCAAGTTATTTCATGTTAACTCATCATAAAATTCCAAGACAGTGTTGCTTTCATGCAACATTGGTAGTGGTGTGTTCACACTAAAATCTCAGTGTGCCTAAAATAAAGAGCGAGCTATATCTTGGATAAATTATACACAGCAAGAGTGTCAGCAACAAATCTCTCAGTAACTTTCACTAAGGCAGATTAAGATCAGCAGATTATAGTATACCAACAAGAAAGAGAAAGTAACAGAATCGTAATATATTTTTAAAAACCCAGCAATAAAATAGAATCAGTGGCCAAAAAAGCAAAGAGACTTTGGACAACTTTTATTTAAGAATGAAAAATGTTACAAAATAGGTTTGTTTAAATGATATTTTTCAATTTAACATGTCAGTTTATCCAACCAATTTTTTTACATCAAAACTGAAGGTGCTGTTTCTATGAACATCGTTGCTACTATTTGGCATGAGAATGGGCAAAATTAATACTGCACAACTAACGTGTCCCCAGCTCTCTAAAACTACCCAGCCAATTGATCCTGTTTTTAGCAACAATGGCATACATTTAAGGGATTGTACATCACTTACAGTACGATACTAAACCAAGGTATAATCTTCTAATGAAGTCAATAAACTCACAAGGGTGTAATCCGTTTAGCATGGCACTGTCAGTTTCTTGGGGCTGAAAGAACAACCTTCCCGCGCTGCATGGCAGAAAGTCTTCCAACTGGGAGAAATGCATTTATTTCAGACTTTCAAATGAGGGATACACATTTTTGAGAGTACACCAGTTTTCTGAATCCTCTGACAAGTCACTTACTATATAAATAACTTCATAGGAGTTGCAGTCCACGTTCATTAAAGTCTAGTGGGCCTCTCAAAATATTCCTTGTATGGGTGAAACGAGACCTAGACCTCTGGCAAACTTGAGCTGCAGCTTCTCTTTAGTAAGCAGTTAATAGGGATTTGCTGTGGAGAAGCAACAGGTGGGTGCTCCCACTTTCCTGTTTTGATGTGCTAACTATGCATCTAGCAAAAATGATGGCAGGGGTAGGAGCAGCGGCTGCAGCAGAAAGCAAGTGGTGGAGTGGTTATTCGAAAAGAACTGCATAATTGCCTCAATTGCCATTAGAAGCAGCACAATTAAGATAAATCAGTGTGGGAGAACATTGACAAATAAGCAGAAAGAAGAATTTTGAAGATGTTCCAAGTTCAAATTGTATAGCTTTGATTACTGGCACTGAACATATATGAAGTGCACTGTGGATGATTTTGTAATTTGGTACAAATCAGTACTGATGCAGTAGAATGTTGTTCGATGTGTTAAGGTGTAACAGAATATGCGGCAATCAGAAAAGGGAAGAAGTCTTTGTCTAGCTTACATTAGTGATCAGAAGAAGCTGAAGTTCAAGGAAGCACCTCACTTTCTGAAAGAAGCTTTTCAACACCTCTGAGAATTAGTGGTTTGGGAGTTCTTCATACAACACTCTGCCAGTAGTAGCAAGCAACGCCACAGTTTTGCCTCACAGCCAATGGATGCCTGTGAATCTATAGAAAGGAGCAGAGGTGTTCCATTTTCTTCATGCACTTTGAAGTGATTAGCTGTTGCTGAGAGGAGAAAATAAAAATGGTTTATGGGAGAACTTTTTAATGCTCTGATCTGAGCTATTTGTTGTTTGAGCTAGTGCTGTGCCAAGAGTTGGCACCTCTTAATCTGGAGCAAAGTCTGTCTACTGAATATCATTGGATGTGGACTTAATGGAATGGAAAGAAGATGACACTGTAACAAGTCCTGCGTTGGTTAAGTCATCGTTAACAGTTGTTTGGGCTCAAGGGTTTTATTCAATTTCTGCTAGAGGTGGAATTAAACATTATTAAGTCTTACATTTGAAGTTGAACTCATGATGAGGCTTAAAATTCTGTAGTCTATTTCAGCAGCAGATCTCTCCAAGATATAATGCTTTTTCGTTGTTTTCTGTTAAATACTAACTTTCCCCTCTGGTACTCGGTAAAATGGCCATCAAAGGTTTTTTGGGGGGAGTGGTACTCAATCTGCATTATCTTTAAAAGGATAGTTGTAATTATTATTGTTTGTGATTTTTAGCACTGTACTTACTGAGATTTTCTTCTTTGTTGCAGGATAATGAAAAGAGGACTCCTTTACATGCTGCTGCTTATCTGGGAGATGCAGAAATCATTGAGCTACTTATTTTATCTGGTATGTTTCTTCTTGAAAGGGGGGAAACCCTGTGCATAGAAAACAGCATTTTATTAATATTAGCAATATGGTTTCCTAACTTAAAACACTGATTGCATTTACGTGTTTTTGCTCAAAGATAAAACTCTTGCTTTTTGCCATCAGTACTGCATGAAATACAAGAATCAGTAACATTACTGAAGTTGTTACATAGCTGGTCTTAGCGGGATGGATATGACTATCCTCTGAGTGGCTCTTCCTCTAACTTAAGTAGCTCTTCCTCCAACAGAAGAACCACTTAAGTTGGAGGAAGATTGGAGGGGGACAGACTTGAGCCTAAATGAAAGATGAGGTATAAATGTTTTAAGAAACGAATGAAAACTTTGCTCAGTTGAATGGCAGGATCATGGTAGGACCTACCCCACTGAGAAATTATTTCAATTTTGCTTCTATGTTAGAAAATAGGGTACACACCAAGTTTTCAATAAGCATAGTCTTATTGTAGCAGGAAACAGGAAAAAAGGTGTTCAGGAAAATATCTCAAGAAAATTAGTGTTAATTATACAGAGGGAACGCATAGCAGATAAATTTCGCTTGGCCATTATGGAGAACATTTTTTTGTTTCTGGTGGTTGCTGATATGATTGAGAGGGCTGACTTCGACTGAGGTATGCAAATTGAAGATACGTGAACACTAGGTTATAGAGGCTAACATAAAAGCTTGTTAAATTATAGTATGGTTGGAGGAAGATGAAATAATATGGGGGCAGTATGCCAGGCTCATGTTTGTCTTTAGAGTTGGTGGCTAATTTGAGTGCTTTCCACCTTCTCCTTTCTTTTCCTGTTTTACCTTGGAACACCAGTAAGCCAATTTCAGGGTGAAAGAATAACATGGGAGGAGGAGAAGTGAACAATTCATTATTCTTCCTCTAAAATTTCTGCCCCTATTTTTGTTTTTGGTAAGAATACAAAGGATCTTTGATGAATCCTTGCCTTTTGTTTGGTTATAGCAGTTAGTCCCAAAATGATGTGTTCTTGAAGTATTTAGATTATAACTTTGCAGTTGTGTATTATTTTAGTATAGAGTTAGCCCTATTTTTATGAGTTTTCCAATCCAGCAAAGACAGTCAGGCTAAATTGCCTAGCATATCAACAAAATGTGGTTGGTTTATTTACTCCATTCATGCACAGGTTATCTCCGTGATTTCAGTTCTGGTGGAAAAGCAGGGTTTTTTTCATGCTGCTCCACAATATGGTGGGGCATGCACCTCCCAGGGTTTCCTCATGTGTTGCCTGATCTTTCTCAAACCTGCTTTGCTGTGAAGTTTTAACGAAGATCATAGTAAAGCCTGACACTGCCATTTTGCCTGACACTGTCCCCATGGTATTCATTTCTTTTCCCTGCCACTGTGGAGCTTTTTTGTTGTATTGGTTGGTTGGAGGTATAACTTTTGAAAAAGAATCTGTATGAAATTGTTAGTTTGGCTTTTCAATCATTTTTGTATTTGTTTGCAGGAGCTAGAGTTAATGCCAAAGACAGCAAATGGTTAACTCCCTTACACAGAGCTGTTGCATCATGTAGTGAGGTATTTTTAAAATTTCGTTTCCACTGTTTTATGCATTTACTTATAAAGGATCTTCTGGTGCAGTCATGTTCTCAAATTACACGTGCTGGATGCAGGTAGGATCACTATTAAATCAGTATGTTGGTGTAGAGATGTCATTACACTTATGAAAGCTTAAGTCAGTTAAGTGTGATGAAGCTGCAACTGTCATCCCACCCCCACCCCCCAGCTCTCAGCATCCTCCATTTGCCGGTTCAGCCTTGCCGGCCATGTTGACCATGAATCAAGGCAGTCTGGTGTTCAATGTTTTTCCATCCCCACCGCGTGTTTTTTTATTGACACAAACTGTCACCAGCGTAAAGGAATTATTTTGAACCTGGCCCCGTTTGCAAGAGAGAAGTAGGGGTGTTTGTGTGTAGGAGTATGAATATCAAAACTTATCAGATTAATTTTGGGTCCATATTATCTGTGGGTGGTAGATCTAATATCTGTGGGTGGTAGATCTAATCTCCAACCCCAAGTGTACCCAATCAGCCTTTAGTCAGCATCTCCAGTCCATTTCAGATTTAAAGGACTATTATTTTATGTGGACTGGACGTGGCTTACCCTAACCTGGAAACCCAGGCTAGCCTGATATTGTCAGATCTTAGAAGCTAAGCAGAGTTGGCCCTGGTCAGTATTTGGATGAGAGATCACCAAGGAAGTCCTGGGTTGTGACAGCAGAGGCAGGCAATGACAAAACACCCCTGAATGTCTTACCTTGAAAACCCTATGGAGTGATCATAAGTAGGGATGGACATGAACTAGCTGACAGGACTAACGTTTGTCATGAATTTTGGGTGGTTTGTGATTCATGAAGCAGAGTTTGCGAACTGAAGAACCCCCACAAAATTCCATGAATTCGATGCAGTTTGTGGCAATCTGTGAAGCGCACAAATCAGGGGTTTGAACCCCTGCCTTCTGCTCTTCACGAAAAACATCTAAGCTCAGCTGTTTGGTTTAAATGGCTCAGAGTCTGGGGCTGCCCACCCAAGAAAGCCCCTTTAAACAGCTGAGCCACACGGATCAGGCTGCCCTTGCAGGTCAGCTGTTTCAATGGGAAACAGCTGAGCGGTGGGGGTAGCCTTCCCCCATGGCTCAGTTGTTTAAAAGGGCTTTCCTGGGCAGCCAGCATGGCCCAAGAAAGTCCCTTTAAACATCTGAGCCACGGGAGCAGTCTGCCTCTGTGGCTCAGCTGTTTCCAGCACAAACCCAGTTCATATGTGAGCTGAGTGGGTTCATGGAGTTTGTGGTTTGTGCCCAATCCCTAAACATAAATGCTGTGACTTGATGGAATTTTGCTCTACCTCCAGACCTGGCATCTCCAGACCTGGCCTCGACAGAGAATAATGGCCCTTTAAAATTTAAACAGACTGGAGATGCCTACTAACAGTTGTTTGGTGGACTGGCTTCCTCTCTCTACCTCGTTGTTCCTGGCACTAGGAATTCAGAAAGCTCTTGAAATTCTGGTAGATAAATTTTCATTCTTCCTGCAATTTGGGAGTGTTTTGTTTAATTTTAGATATCCCAGAGCTGACCTGAAACAGCAAATTTCTGATTATTTTTTGGCTCAGGTGCATCCGAGTTCACACCTGTGTGTGTGTGTGTGTGTGTGTGTGTTTTGCATGAGAGAAAAGAAGCTTTAGGGATCTTTTCTTCCTCTGTATCTGTCTGTGCATACTGTTAGTTTCAGTACTGGCAGACCTCTTGTTAGTATAACTGAGCAGCTAGCAAAAGGTGAGTAGGATTTCTCTGAGTCACATCCAAAGATCATAATAAAACCTTAATAATTAAACATAGAAAGCAGACCCTTGGGAACAATCAATGTACAGATGGTTTTAGACAGAAGATTAGAATGAAAAATGAAAAAGTATTTTCCTAGCTAATCCTAATGCCTCTGCGTTCCCCTTCCTGGGAATAGGTCCAAACTGCAGCATGTTGGCACAGGCTGACAGGGTCTACCCCTTGATATTTCAGTCTTGACTTTGGTCTTGGCACAGAACTCCAATACAAGCTATCAGTCATAGATTTTCCTGAAGCCTAGTAGTTCCCTTTCCTAAACCAGTCTTAGGGTGCCCATTCAAAGATTCTCTCAAGGCCCGACTCTCATCACTTCATAAGTCTGGATTAAAGGAGTTTTGAGGTACCAAGGAGAAACTAATCATGATTCAGCACCTCCCCCCCACACACACACACAACCACTAGCCAAATGGTGGAATGTATCTAGGACTCCGTTTCCATTGATCATCATATACCTCTCTCTCTTCTGGAATGTAACTTAGGATCTAATTGTCCCCTTCCCCAAGAAAAGCCTGTACTTAGGCATTACCTTTTCTTATAATTCCAAATTCTCAGCACATCTGTCCTCATCAGCTAACCTGGCAGAGAGAAGTGCAAATGCCAGTCTTAGATTATTTAGAAGGAAAGGTGCAGGTTTTCTTCCCATTGCCTTAAAAACCTTCCAGGCAAAATCATTGGCTCAACTCCTATATGGTTCACAAAACGGACTTTCTGCCAATCTAAAGACCCTTGAAAAGGTTCAGTCTAAATTTCTTAGATGTCTATTTGGCGTTCCTAGAAGCACTTCTAATGTAACACTTAGGCAAGAGGCTGGGCTACTCAGAGTTGAAGCGAAGGTCTGGGAGCAGGCTATAACGCCCTGGCTAAAAATTCATTACAACCCAAAGGGTTTAATACCTTACTTTTTAGCCTCGGACCCTTACCCTGCCTGGTCCACACAAATTCTTAATAAGTTAAATCAGATTGGCCTATTCCCAGAAGATCTCTTCTATGGAAGCCTATACAAGGCAAGAACAGCTGTTGTGCAGAGGCTTCGTGATACTGAATTACAAAATGAAGAAGCTTTCGCTACCCAAGAACTTCAGAAATATAAAATCGTGGCCTAATTTTACTGCTGCCCCTTATTTATTTAACATTACCTATGAGCCCCATAGATGGGCCTTTTCCAGAGCTCATTTTGAGGCACTCCCTTCTGCTGTACTGCAAGGTAAATTCACTCGAGTTCCAATGCATGAACGTATATGCCCATGCATGTCTAATATGGTGGAATCAATTACTTATGTCCTCGTGTTCTGCAGATTCTATCAGGAGGAACGAGACCATCTTATACTACCCTTTCTGTCTAGATTTAGCCCTCTGCAGTCTTATCTTGAATTTAGGCCAGAAGTCCTTCGTAAATTCCTCTTAGAAGACGTTCAGAGCTCAGTGACTTACGGTGTGGCAAAATTTTGTTGCTTAGCTATTAGGAAATGTAAACTTATTTTAGCTGAAAAAATTGTATCATTCTCTTATTAACATTATTTTATTTTACTAATTTTATTAATTTTCTCTTGTTAATGTTTTTATACTATTCCTATGTTATTACTGTTTTAATCCTTCTTATATCAGAATTGTACTGTTTTACTGGCTCTTGCTGTAATAAATTAGATCGATCGAAGGATACAGAATTGTAGTGTAGTTATAGTACTGTAGGTGATTGAAAGTATCATTTTTTTTGTTTTCTCTACTACTTTAGGATGCTGTTCAGGTGTTGTTGAAGCATTCAGCAGATGTCAATGCCCGTGACAAAAACTGGCAAACACCACTACACATAGCAGCTGCAAATAAAGCTGTTAAGTGCGCAGAAGCCTTGGTGCCACTTCTCAGTAATGTAAATGTGTCAGACCGTGCTGGTAGAACAGCATTACATCATGCAGCCTTCAGTGGACATGTTGAGGTACGAATTACTTCTCACTTTCAGTTCCTCAGACCAGTTGTTTCTCCAGAAACAGCTGGCTATTTACGTAATCCCATTTCTTCATGCAGAAGAAAATGTGTATTGTAACTCCATAGCATGTTTGGAGACCTACTATTCATATGATTACTGTGTTATGACCTTTCTGCTTAAAATAGTGTTTTAAGGTAGACTGCTGGCAACTAACAAGAAATACAGATTAGATTTATAATTATTAAAGCCATGAGCCCAGTTGATCATTGTGATTGATCTTAGCTTTCATAGGTGAACAATGACTTTAAATCTGTATCAGACTGAGGGGTTTGATTACATCCCTAATTTTCTATATAGGTTGCACAGGTGTAAAAAACTGCTTTAACAGTCACTTTTAATATATTTCACTACACTTTCTAAGCTATCAATATTTTGGTTGGCTGAACAACTAAATAACACCTGTCGAAGATCGTTGCTGTCTCATTAGATGTAAATGTGTTTAAATAACTTGAATGTTGCTGATACTAATAGAGACAATTTTTCAACTTGAATTATGCTTTGATTTTCTGTAAAACTTAAAGTGCAGAAACATCTTCTTCATTCTAGATGGTCAGTTTGTTGTTGTCTAGAGGTGCCAATATTAATGCCTTTGACAAGAAAGACAGACGAGCTATTCACTGGGCAGCCTATATGGGTATGTAAAGGAACTAAGGAATTCTTTTTTTCCATCCCCAGTTCTTTTGACTTGAATCTTTATGCACTGCATACTTCTCTGTTTCTGTTTCAGGTGGGTAGCTGTGTTAGTCTATAGTAGTAGAACAGAATTTGAGTCCCATGGCACATTATAGACCAGTGTATTTCCCCAGAGTATAAGCTTTCATAAATCAAAGTTCATTTGTCAGATCTGACAAAACTTTCTAGAGTCAAAGATCTGACAAAGTGATTTTTGTTCTATGAAAGTTTATACCCTGGAAAAAACAATTTGGTCTGTAAAGTGCTACTAGAGTTCAGTTTTCTGGTTTTATTTCAGCTAATTTGTATTCTGCAAGCCCTGCCCCCAGCGGGCTGGTGGGGGAAGCAAAGAGAGAAGGGTTTTAAAGTTTAAACTCCTTCTCTAGAGTCGCACTGCTGCAGGGGCACGATCTCTTATTGTATCCTATGGCCCCATAGAATAAAATTGAAAGATTGTGCAGCCGCTGCGGCGCGACTCCAGAGAGAAGGGGGTTAAACTTTAAAACCCTTCTCTCTGGAGTCCCGCCGCAGCGGCAGCACGATCTTTCCATTGTATTCTATGGGGCCATAGGATACAATGGGAGATCATGTCCCTGCAGCGGCGCGACTCTAGAGAAGGGGTTGAAGCTTTAAAACCCCTCTCTCTTCGCTTCCCCCACCAGCCTGCCTTGGCAGGCTGCCTTGGGAAGGGAAAGGGAGGCTTTTAAAGATGCTTCCCCAACCTTTCTTTGCTTCTCCAGCCAGCCTTCCAAGGCAGGCTGGCTGGGGAAGCTAAGAAAGGTTGGGGAGGCATCTTTAAGAGCCTTCACTTCACTTCCCCAACCAGCGCGTCTTGTCAGGCTGGCTGGGGAAGCGAAGGAGAGGTATTTAAAGATGCATCTCCATCTTTTTTTTGCTTTCCCAGCTGGCCCACCTTGGCAGGCCATCTGGGGAAGCAAAGCAAGATGGGGGAGGCATCTTTAAATGACTCTTTTTTTCCTGGAGAATGAAAGGGGGATAGCATATAAATGCCTCCCCCTTCCTCCTCCAGCCATGTCTCTGCTGCCTTCCCTTCCCCAGCTGTCCTGCCTGGCAGGCTGGATGGGGAAGGGAATGGAGGTAGAGTGGGTCAGTTTTACTCACCTGTGGAGTGGAGCCTGAGCATTGGATGTTGCCTTCTGACACACTTCTGGTGATGTCAGGCGATGTGGCATGTGCAAATAAGTTATGCTAATAATGAGTCATGCTAATAAGCTCCTGCACCTCTTTTTCTATGAAATGACCCCTGAGCACACTGAATATGCATTTTGTCGGAATCATCCAGTGTTTGTTGGGGGTTTCCATCAAGATGGAAATGTGCATTCCTGGCTACTGTCCCTGGCTACTGTCTGAAGCTGCTTGTTGTGTTATAGGTGACTAGCTGGCGGTCTTTTACTGTAGGCTGAAAAGGCTGTTAATGCTCCTTTTAGAATTTGAAATATATCTGTCATGGGTGTTTCACATGTAAAATATGACTAATGGTTAGGCATAAATTTTACAAAAGAGAAAAAACCAATTAGGGCTGTCCATCACTTGCTGAAGTAATTTGCATATATTTGCATATTACCAGTACTGCTTTGTACTCAGAGGCCTTTCTGAGTCCTTGAGTTAGTATTTAATAAATAAGAGCTAACACCCAATGCTAGTAAGAAAGGTTTTTTTTAAAAAAAGGAATGGACACTTATAGCACCCCAGGAATAGGCTCAAAAACCAGTATGGCCATCTCCTGGGGTTTAAACCTGTTTAAGTAGCTGATTAAGGCTTTAATTGACCAATCTACCAGTTAAAACCAGAAGCTATACAAACATTAATTTTCTTTGTTCAGGTCATATTGATGTAGTAAAACTCCTTGTAGCCCATGGAGCTGAAGTGACTTGTAAAGACAAGAAATCCTATACACCGCTACATGCTGCTGCCTCCAGTGGAATGATCAGTGTAGTCAAGTATCTTCTGGATCTTGGAGTTGATGTAAGTAATACAAGATGTCTTAAGTTGCTTCTTGTCATTCTTTCACACCGTTAAGATATGGAAACACTTTCTTAAGAGGAATAGTTTTGGCACAGTGTATTTATAATGATGTTTCTCAAATAATCAGTGTTGTATACAAAATTTATCTCCTAAACCTTTTCCAGACTTCTTGCAGAATCCAGTTACAGTTTAATAGGCTGTGGTTTTTGTGAGTTACGATTTAAGCATAGAAATGACAGTGCAGTTCTTTGCCATAGATCTTCTATGTAGAATCACAGAGTTGGAAGGCACCATACAGGCCATCTAGTCCAACCCCCTGCAGAACTGAGGAAGAAAAAGAAGAGAAGAAGAAAGGATTGAATTTATACCCCACCCTTCACTCAGAGTCTCAGAGCGGCTTACAAACTCCATCCCCTTCCCCTTCCCACAACAGACACCCTGTGAGGTAGGAGGGGCTGAGAGAGCTCTTTCAAGAACTGTTCTTTCAGGAACAGCTCTGACAGAACTATGGCTTGCCCAAGGTCATCCAACAGCTGCAAGTGGAGGAGTGAGGAATCAAACCTAGTTCTCCCAGATTAAAGTCCGTGCACTTAACCACTACAATAAACTGACTCTCAGGAAAGGAAAGGAAATAAAATATAATGTATGCAGCCAATCTAAGCCTTACAGTCCAGTGAACAAAGCCTGCTGGAATATCGAAAATAAAGACTGGTCAAGATAGACTTCACTCTGTCCCCTCTCTTGTTCTTGGTTCTGGCTTGAGCACTTCTGACTGGCAAGGTGTCCAGATCTTTTAACCCTTCCTGTCCCAGCTGGGTGGGTTTCCCTTCATCCTATCCTGAGTTTGGGAGTGAAACTTCACATGGATCACTCTCTACCCTTTCTCCAATCAGCTTAGAGCATGTGTCTCTTTTGCTCAGTGATAGGAATTCTAAGATTATTCTAGCAATTGCAAAATTTGTCTCAGTCCTTTTAGCCCTTGCATCTAAAAATAAGAAATATGTGTCTTCTGCTGCTCAAGATTTGTGAATCAATGAGCTTCTAAGGGTACAAAAGGAAAGGAAAGCCTATGTCTCAAACCTTTCTGGTACAGTTCAAGCCATCCAGATAGCCATCCATCTTGCCCCTTTCAGGCAGTTGGGCAAATGGTTATCTCTACATGGGAAGCTCATCTCTGTTCCTCTAGAAATTTGAATAATTTATAGCTCTGCTCCCTGGGAAAGAATGTTTTTCCTTGAGATTGGGGCCTCTTGGATATAACTTGCGGAATCACAGCTATTTTCCCTAAGCTGTTTCTCTCCCCCCCCCCTCTCTTTAATTCTTTTGTCTAATGATATCATCCAGTGAACAATCACTCTGGCTTCAGTAGTGTGTTCAGTGTTTCTGATACCCAATTTCAAATGCAGATGTTGGTACTTGTAAAGTGTTGGATCTGACGGTTCCCTTCATTAAGTGAGGAATTTTATGTTGGAGGAAAGAGTCTAAAGCTGACAACTAGCTCTGGAATTCCCCCTCATGGGAGGTCTGCCTTGCTCCATCATTGTTGAGATTGGCATGTGCCGGACAATGTCCTTTTCAGGAGGGCTGTTGCAGGTTTGTTGCCCAGTAGTAGATATATGTAGATCTTCAGACTGTAGCTATGTTTTTACAAATGAAACTAGTTGAGGCTGCCTTATTAAGCTGTGGCTGTGGTTTTATTGCAGCAATGTCTGTTAATGTAATTTGTGTTTTAACTTGGAAGTATATCAGTTGGATGGAAAAGTGAGATACAAAGTTTTTTTAGTAGATCAATTAGTAGACAAAAGAATTAAATGCTGTGCATGCAAGCTATAAATAGAAAAGGAAGGTGAAGGAGGCATAACAAAAGGCTTAAAAGGGCTGAACAATCCTGAATAGATTTCAAAGAAACAAAAACTGCCTTAAAACTTTGAATTTTTTTTCTGCAATAACAACTGTACCAGTTACAGCTAAATTCTTTACGTAATATTTGAAATGAAGAAGCTACCTTACAGTGAGGGCCAAAAGAGATACAGCAGGGATCATGGATCTCCATAAGCATGTAGAAGATACATTTGCTTACATGTGTAACTGATTTTGAACTGGGTCATGTTGGAAGGAAGAATGGATTTAATTCTTTAGCCTCTCCTCAGTTTTGCTAATTGAATTTTGTATGATTATTAATATTTTAAAGGGAAAATGCAAGTAAGTGCACATCATTTTTTTTTTAGAACTAACTAAAGCATTGGGAGCTGAATTTAGTGGAACTGAGTAGGCCTTGAATGGTTAAATCCTCTCTTCTCTTCCTCTGCGCCCCAATTCAAATAGTGGCTGCATATAAACAATTTACTTTTTGTAGAGATCCGTAATCTCTGTCATGCATGTGTTGGCTGATAATGCAACCTAATCCAGCACTGTCTACTTTAACTACAAGGGCTCTTCAGAATCTCATGCACTAGTCTTTCCCATCCTTGCTTACCTTGTATTATTTTAGTAGGAATTACATTTGAACATCTGCATTTGTATTCTAGTACAGAGCTATGGCCTGTCCTCTGAGCAATTTCATTCTGTTTATATTCACATCCAGTTAATGAATGTCGTTTTTGGATAACAAGTATCATGGTTCATAAGATTTTGTTGCATATAAATGTTGTGGAAGGACTTCATAAAATGCACATGATGTTGTCTCCTAACAGATGAATGAACCAAATGCATATGGAAACACACCTCTTCATGTTGCTTGTTTCAATGGACAAGATGTTGTAGTAAATGAACTGATAGACTGTGGTGCTAATGTAAATCAAATGAACGAGAAGGGATTTACACCTTTACATTTTGCGGCTGCATCAACCCATGGAGCATTGTGTTTAGAACTTCTGGTCTGTAATGGTGCAGATGTGAATATGAAGGTAAAATGAACTGAAAGGTGAATTTTAAAAGCTGTAACAATACTTATGACATTTTTATATTTTATTGATTTGGCTTTAAAATGTAATAATGTAAAATAGAAACTCATCTGTTCAACTAATGCATTTTATCGTGTGGTATATATGGGAGTGTTCAGTATTATGCTGGTTCATTGATTCTCAGACTACTTTCCATATCCCATTGAAAGTAGAGAAGGCTGTGATGAATTCCAGTTGATCTGGGACACCATTCTGATAACAGCAGTACAAGGAGACTTAGCCTGATACAAGAGGCTTCTTGCACTGGGGAAATGTATTGTCATTAGTGGAACAGATCCCTGGAATATTGGTTTATACTGGGATTCTCTATTTTGGTAGCCGATTATAGATTAGACAATCTGATTCAGTTTTTGGAAATACCCCCAAAATACCGATAAGCAGTGTTCCCCTCTAAGCTGAGTTAGTGTGAGCTAGCTCACAGTTTTTTAGCCTCTGGCTCACACATTTTTGTCTTAGCTCAGGAAGGATGGCTTCAGAGCAAACTAATTTATGCAGTAGCCAAATCGCTTGCTCACAACTATAATGCCAGTAGTTCACAAAGTAGAATTTTTGCTCACAAGACTCCACTGCTTAGAAGGAGCATTGCCGATAAGGTATTTTTCAGGTATTTATTTTACTCGGTAAATACTGAATGCACACCCCTCATATACATACACAGAAGTATAGATTTGCAGGCTCGGGGGATAGAGGGGCAATGCAGAGGAAGGAACACAAACAAACCCAGAATTGGTGAAAACATGGTCACAGCATTTATTGGATACAGCCGAAGGAGCATTGGTACAGCATGGGGACAGATCCAGCATCGGGCAACCCATGTGCCACCTGATAACCACAATCTCCCCAGCCCACCTGTTGGGTGATGACACCATGGAATGGCAAAACTCCAGAATCCATGTAGGCATTAGCTGCTGCATGGTCCCCTTGTCACCTGGTGGTGAAGGCAGCTGACAGCCCCTGAGCTGGGCATGCGACTAAGTGGCTCTACCTTCAAGATCCCTTGAGGGAGTCCCCAAACTGCGGGAGGAGGGCATGTAGGCTGCCCCCCTTGAGGGACCACCCAATGTCCAAAGTACCCAAGCTGTAACAAGAAAAGCAATAAAGTAATAGCACGGTACTGTAAATTGACCCATAACAACTGAATGAAAGAAGGGAGAGGGTGGGTGGGAAAAACCAAGCAGATAGAACAGGGGAGATCTGGCCATAGCATGGTCTTAAATACCGGTGGGGGCTGCTCTGCCTTATCCCTCAGGGCTGACCCTGGCTGATTAGGCTGGCCAGCCCAGCAGCCAATCCCACCCCTTATAAGCCTCGTGGCAGTGTGGAGCTGCTGTACGCTTTCCTTGCATCACCCTCCCCTGAGCTGCAAATGGTGGTGCTGGGTAAGGTCGTGCTGTGCTAAAGCTAAGGAATTTAAACAATATCTGACAGTTATAACACCTTTGTGACTATTTTGTACACATGACATTTCAGAGAACGGAATTATCACAGTATTTGTGAAGGAAAAAACATTATTCTCTAAATATGAATGTACAGTTGCTATCACATGTACAGATATTTTTCTGTTTATATTTATACTGTAGATCATTCATAGCTATAATAATGCTTTGAGGCTGATCAGCAATTATAATAATAATGGAACCCTTTCATGCGTTATGGTTGACCTACTTCAAGGATGTTTTTATGAGTGAATGACCATGTGTCTCAAATACTGTCTTCCTTCAAAACTGAATAGGTGTATTAAGGATTGGTTTTTTTATAATTAGTTGCTTAAGTTTATAGTTGACCTCAAAGGATCTGGGGAACATTAAAAACAAATCTAATGTTTATAGCAGATTACATTAAAAGCTTGCTTTAATTGCTTTGGTTTTATAGCTTGGGATGTGGACATGGTGCTAGGTGTCAGTGCTTGTCTGCTGTCACTGTCATCCAGAAAGCTGATGTTATAAAGGCATAGTTTTGAGAGTGTGTCACAGTGGTGCTATTCACTGCTATAACAGCCGTTAGCAACGTTGACAAAACTGTGTTGCAGAAAAGACTACAGTTTTGCTTTGGCTTGCTGCCACCAAAACAGTTTGGCAGGAATGCAGGAAAGGGAATACAATGCAGAAAAAGAACCAATATTCTATTCTGTCCATGCTGAACTTGTGCAATTACTTGGTAGCCATGGGTTGACTTCTTTTTCCCCAGAGTAAAGATGGGAAAACACCACTGCATATGACAGCAATCCATGGAAGATTTTCAAGATCACAAACCATTATCCAGAATGGTAACAAGAAAACATTTTGAACTATGAGTTATGTTTTTTAATTCCAGATTGGTACTGTGTTCAGCTGCTTAAGCAAATTGATGTTGTAATGATGTCTCTGTCACTGTTATGTGAGAAATAGCAAGTTTGGCATCTGAAATATATAAAAGCCATATTGGCACTTTCCAGCTCTCCCATTGGCTGTGCTGTGCGCTCCATCAGCCATTGACCCACCAACTGCCACTCAAGAGTATTTGCATGCCATTGGCTGTGTGCTGGGTCCATTCCTCTCCCCCATGCACTGCCAGCCTGGCCAATATTCCCTGTCAGAATAAACTGCCAAAATGGCTCTCTCTTCTGATGAAGACTCTTCTCCTACTTGGCTCCTCTGGGGCTGGTTGGCTACTTTCCCCCTAGTGGCTGTTGCTAGGCAACCAAGCTTGGTTCTGTCAGTAAAAAGGCAAAGGCAGGAGCCCCTTTCCTGGTCAACTTTGGCCTTTGTGGGGAACTCATTGGGGCCAGTCCTGACTAGGGTTGTCAGCTCCATGTTGGGAAATTCCTAGAGATTTTGTGGTGGAATCTACGGAAGGCAGCGTTTGGGGAGGGGAGAGGCCTCAGCTGAATAGAATGTCATAGAGTCCACCCTCCAAAACAGTTATTTTCTTCTGTGGAACCATTGTCAATCTCCAGGTGAGGGCTGGAGATCACTCAGAATTACAACTGCTCTCCAGATGGCAGAGATCATTTCCCCTGGAGAAAGTGGCTGCTTTGCAGGGTGGACTCTGTGTCATTATACCCTGCTGAGGTCACCATAGCAAATTGATGCTGAGTGCCCAAGGCTGGGGCACCTGCCCAGAGCCTCTTTCTAGAGCTCATTGTATTTATTTCCACAACAGGCCTTATTCCTAGTTTTGAATAATTCAGTTAATAGATTAGCTGTGTCTTTTACCTGTGTATCTTAAAATGTAAAGCCAGCCAATCATCTGTTTGCCCTGCCTATGGATTCACTGTACTGGAGACTTCTCTGGGACGCATGTGACATCAGTATTGAGGGGTTTTTTTTCATCATAGAGCTGTTCCACATTACAAAGAATAAACCGAATGACTCAGATTTCCTTTTTTAAAAGTTATTACTATACTGTAGGAAACGGGACTCTCCATTTCCTTCTGCATTGAGATCTGTGAGCTCTACAGGCTGTCTGGCACTTCTGAGTCTCACTTGTGCAGGATATCCTTGAGTCTGACTTTTCATGACACCCACAATTAGGGAGGGAAGACCACACAAATCTCTTTCCTAGCTTCTTTTTTGAAGTGGGAAGCAGCCTTTAAACACATGGGAACGCTCAGCCAGTTGAGAAGCTCATTGTGAAACTTCCTATCTTCAAGTTAATTTCTGTGCAACCGAAGACACAATTATTTTACAATTGACTTTCCAGGAGCTGAAATAGACTGTGAAGATAAGAATGGAAATACACCTTTGCACATAGCGGCACGATATGGCCATGAACTACTAATCAACACATTAATTACGAGTGGTGCTGACACTGCAAAGTAAGTAACATTCAATGATTTGAAGCATTCTAAAATATTTAAGACACCTATGTCTGTCGAGAAAGTAGTATTGGCATATAAGTTCCACAAATCTTAAATCTTTATGTAATATTTAAACCATTCTAACAATGTTTTACTGTCCCACACAGCTTGTTGAACATAAGAATATAGCCTCCAAAATAAAAAGAAGCCTTTCATATTTCTCCTGTCAATATAGATAAGGCTCACTTTTGAACTGACTGTCATTCTGAAAGACTGTACTGTGTTTAAATGTAACAGGTTTTGTTCAAATGTATTAAATGTTTTTCTTAAATTAATTACTCTAAGGGAAATTAAATGCAACCTTATAAACATGGGATTTAGTGTGACACTTTGGGTTACTGGATTGATTGTAATGAGACTGTGATGTCTGATTATGGTGTATCTTAGGCGGGGTATACATGGAATGTTTCCTCTCCATTTGGCAGCATTAAGTGGATTTTCAGACTGTTGCAGAAAACTGCTTTCATCAGGTAAGCTCTTTCAAAATTTATTTACTTTTTACCTCAGCCCCTTTGTATCGTTTTTGATTCTTTGTTTATTTATTTGATACTATAGAATAAAATAATTGATTTTGATTCCAACCCTGATTATCTAAATTCTTCACCTCTACCCATGTTGACCTACCCCCTCCACTGTCCAAGTATAAATTTACTGTCAGTGTAATAATCCCTGTGAAAATTGTTCCTTTATCTGCAGACTTTAAAAAAGTGTTCATAACCTGCTTGAGAGTGTAGAAATCGAGGGATGATAGCATTTGGCAGGGACGTCCAAGTGCCCCCCCCCACAATTCCTCTTAGATCCCCTGGTTGTAATTTAAAAAAATAATAATTCTGGAGGTATTGACTTGTTTCCTCAGCATAACATTTTGGCTGTTAAATTGGTGCAGCTTTACTGTTTGAATGATTCCCTGTAATGATAAATACAACTGCTCTATGTACAATTCACAATATGTTAATCTTGTATCTTTATGTCTGCGCTTTTCTCATTTTCTCATTACACTGAGTTTGTTTATATTTGAAGCATTAAATGGCATTTGTTCTAAAGCCTCCTGTGTCACCATGCTTAAGGGCACCAAGGACAAAGACTAGTAACTTTCTTGGTGATATAATCAAGTTTGGTTCCAAGAACTCTGGTTTATGTAGTTTGGTTATCAGGCTTTCAATGTATTGTTACAAACAAAAACAAATAGCAATTTCTATGTGGTACTTTAGATTTGTAAATCTGTTTGGAACTTTAGTTTTGTCCCTCATGCCCTTGAAATGCTTTCCCCTTCTATATTACATACTCTTATCTGAGGATGTATTAGTTTTAAGCTTGCTATATCTAGGAAGCATTTATGCACAGTTGGTCATATCACTCAAGCGAACAATGCACATGCAGTTTGAAACCTAACCTCTTTGAGACATACAGTGGTTCTTAGTGAGAAGAGAAATAAACTTGTCCCTTTACAGAAAGATTGAAAGTAACCCAGAATTGCTTGCTACTGTGATATGTAACTGGCACTAACATTTATTAATACAAAAGCAATGGTCTGCTTATTCTGTAGCTTTTAGTCACTAATGTGTTATATTTTAGTGGTTGGACAGATTCCTGATGTTCAGTTTCTTTGGTCATTGTATGGTACTAGCAGGGCCAGCCCAAGGTGTTCCTGTGCCCTAGGTGAGGCGCAGTTGCCAACCTCCCGGTGGGGCCTGGAAACGTGTGTGTGTGGGGGGGAACAAAGCTTCCTGAAAGTTGCAGCAGCGCGAGTTGCAGCAGCACTGAGCCCCCCCGCCTTCCTCCTGCTGTAACACCTCCCTCTCCTCCCCCCCGCTCGGATGCCAGCACCTGGCGTGCACGGGGGGGGGACTGTGCAGGAGGCAAGGGGGACGCCGTATCTCCTCTGCACCTCCGGCCATGTTGGTGCAGCGCCACCACACCGCCTGGAGAATGGGGGGATTGGAGAGGGGGGTCTCCCGGGGGGGTCCATCCCTGCCCGCCTGCGCCCTCCCTTCCTCCCTCCCCCCACCCCACTGGCTCCCCCATGGCCAGGCACGCTGAAGCCACAACCGCCCCACCACAGAGAAGTCGCCCAGAAGGGCCAGGCCGCCTCTCCATGTTGGCGCGGTAGCACCAGCTGGCCTAGAGAACGGGGATTGGAGAGGGGGGGTCTCCCGGGGGGCCCGTCCCCACACGCCCGTGCCTCCCCCCCCCGCCGCTGCACTCACTGGCCTTGCCGGGCGCTCTCTCCTTCCTGCCTTCGCCTCCTTCCTGCCTTCGACGCCGCCGGGGGGCTCCCGATAGCGGCAGCCTCCTCCTCCTCCGAGCACTAGCAACACCGCTGCTGGCTCCCCCATCGCGTGGGGTGGCTAGGCGCGTCAAAGCCACAACCGCCCCACCACAGAGAAGTCGCCCAGAAGGGCCAGCAGGCCGCCTCTCCCCTGCCCGACAGCTGGGAAGCTGCTGCAGCAGACAGTGGCGCTCGAGGATGGGGGCGGGGGATGCGGGGCTGGCTGGGGACGCGGCTGCTTCAGCAGCGGAGCCGGGGAGGCGAGTGGCGGCGCGTGGGCTTTTGGAGGGGAGGAGACGAACTTCGGCGCCTCATCTAGGGCCCAGCACTCTAGGCGAATGCCTAGTTCGCCTAGCGGGTGAGCCAGCCCTGGGTACTAGTGAGCAGCAAATCAGTTGTATATCTAAAGCTGCTTCAGCTTACAAAACAGATATTCACACACAGTTCACTCGTTTCATTTTATTTGGTAAATAGTATGAGCCAGAACTTCACCAGAATTAAGTGAATGTCCTTGTGATCACTGTTTCTCTAAAATGTGCGGTTTCGTGAGCAGAAAACTTACCCCATGAGTGGGTCAACACTTTTTTTAAAAAAAATAAGTTTACAAACATACAAAACAAATATATTAAATTATACGTAGTAGTTTCCTGTTTGCTGCCATGAGTGAAAATGGGGCAAATTGTGCAGTGTTGCCTCTTGGCTACTAACTGGATGAAGCAGCTCTTCCACAAGCAAGCTTGAAGTGCAGACTTTATAGTGAATGAAGCTAGTACTGAGGGATGAACAGTGAGGCTCTACTAGTTCAAGGAAATGCAGGCTTTTAAAAAGTCTGCTCTTTTTAAAAAAAAGTTATTGAGGCAAAATTCTCTTGAAGGTTTATTTTACACATTAAAATAAGAACACACACACAACTCCTTCATCACACATGAACAAAAGTAAACTTCAGAGATACCAGTGTACAAGTCCTTAGATCCTCACCTTTCAAAAACACACGTACATTAAATTGCCCTTTAAACATACTTGTCTCAGGGGGATTTATTTATGGTGGAAGTCAAGTTGCAGCTGACTCATGGTGACCCCATACAGGTTTCAAGGCAATTTTGGTGGTACCTGGAGATATCCCCTGCTATTGTAATTATCTCCAGGTGACCAAAATCAGTTCCCTTGGAGAAAATGGCTGCTTTGGAGGGTGGACTGTGCGGCTGAGGTCCTTCCCCTCCTCAAACCCCACCCTCCCCAGGCTCCATCCCCAGAATTTCCAGGTATTTCGCAGCCTGGAGCTGTTAACCCTAACCTGGGCTCCCTTGGTGGTCTCCAATCAAAGTACTAACAGGGCTGACTGTATAGTTGCCAACCTCAAGTTGGGGCCTAAAGATCTCCTGGAATTAAAACAGATCTCCAGACGTCAGTTCCCGCAGGAAATAGTTGCTTTGGAGGGCGGGCTTCATAGCATTATGGCCTTTTGAGGTATCTACCCACCCCAAACCTCACCCTTTCCAGGCTCTCCCCCTCCAAATATCCAGGAATTTCCTAACCCTAACTCACCCTGCATAACTTCTGAGACCTGAGGAGATTGGGCCATCTGGGTCAGGGCCTGATATTTGTTTACTTCCTGTATAACCATTCTCACTTGAGAGTCAAGGCAGATTATGGAATATAAAAAATTATTGTAGGAATTATTCAAAACATACCATCAAAGGTATATAAGGCTGGGTTACAAAACTGGAGCAGAATGCATTAAAAACAGCATAGAATACAGAGTTGAATTGCACCATTGGCAAACATTGCAATAAACTTTGTGATACATACGAGGTAGAGTGACCAGAACTGCACACAGTATTCCAAATGAGGATGCACCATAGACCTATACAAGAGTATTATAATATTGGCCATTTTGTTTTTTGTCTCCAACATAGTTTGTCTTTTTTAACAGCTACAGCACACTGGGCTGGTTGATACTTTCAATGAGTTGTCTGATACAATCTCACGATTGTTTTTCCTCTGGTCTCAGCAACTTCAGACCCCATTAATCTATACCTGAAGTTGGGATTTTTTGTTCCAGTGTGCATCACCTTACACTTATTAACACTGAACTTCATTTGCCCCATTGTTACCCACTCACCCAATTTGTGGGAATCCTCCTGGAGCTCTTCACGGCCGTCTTGTTTTTCACCATCATAAATAATGTTGTGTCATTTGGAAACTTGGCTCCTACACTGCTCACCCCAGATAATTTTTGATCATTCCAGATCATTTATGACTAGTACCAGCCCCAATACTGATCCTTGTGAGACCCCACTGCTTCCTTCCTTCCATTGTGAGAACTGCCCATTTATTCCTACTCTTCGCTTCCTGCCATTTAATCTATTTTTAATCCATAAGAGGACCAGTCCTCTTACCTCACAACTGCTGAGTTTACTCATGAGTCTTTTGTGAGGTACCTTGTCAAAAGCCTTTTGAAAGTACAAGTATATGAAATCTACTGGGTCACTATTGTCTACATGTCTGTTCACTTTCTCAGAGAACTCCAAAAGGTTGGTGAGGTAGGACTTCCCTTTGCAGAAGCCATGCTGATTTTTCCCTCAGCAGGCTTTGTTCCTCTATGTGCCTAATAATTCTATCTTTGATTACATTTTCTACAAATTTGCCTGGGAAAGATGTTAGGCTAAATGACTTGTAATTTCCTGGTTACCCTCTGGACCCCTTTTTAAGCTTCTCTCCAGTCTTCTAGTTCAGCGATAGTTTAGTGATAGATTATATTTAGTGAAACATTTAGTGGTAGGTTACATACATGGGTTAGTAGATCAATACTTCAGTTCCCTAAGAACTATAGTATGAATGCGATCAGGACCCAAAGATATATCAGTTTCCCCAGTAAATCTTGAATTTTATCTCTTGTCGTCTCAATTTGACTCAGTTCTTCAGACTCCCTTCTTGAAAATAGTGGCCTTGAATAGATACATGCCCCACACTTTCCACAGTGAACACAGAAACAAAATACCCATTGAGCTTCTCTGCCATCTTCTCATCTTTCTATAGTAATCCTTTTATTCTTTGGGCAACCAAAGGCCCAACTAATTCTTGGCTGATTTCCTGTTCCCAGTGTATTTAAGGAAATATGTCAGTGGGCACCACATTGGTGGCCTCTGTGTTAATGTCAGTACAGATCAAATAAATTAAGACCTTACTTGATATTCTTCTGCTGCTGTTTGATTATTGCCCCTACAAATTTTGCCACAGAAAGAGTAACAGAATTGTTTGTATCTGATAATAACCAAGTCACCTGTACCCGTATACTATCAGGTGCCTTGTTAGACCTTTACATCATTTGGAATAAAGGAGTAATTAAACTGGCCCTGAGCTCATTAAATATAGGACACTCTATAAACATATGCTCAATAGTTTCAACTTTATCAAGTGAGCATCTACATATTCTATTTGCGTATGGCATTTTTTAATATCTGCCTTCCAAGACTGCTGAAGGAAGAGAATTCATTCTGGCCAGAGTAAAAGCTCTTCTGAACTTTGGTATTGTCAACTGATAAAAGTTCTTCAGCAGTTGCATCGGAAGGGCAATGGCCCAAATAAGACACCGAGCATATCCTGCAAGCCCTGAAAGATGTGCTGTTAATATACAATTTCTTAACACACAATTCAATTAGCCTAATAATTTATTTGGTCTCCATGATCTTCACCATATTGTTTGTTATACCTAAACATTTAATTTTCTTTTCCAGTAGTTGATCCCATTGGCTATTATATGTGTCTGCTTGTAAAAGTTCAAGGAGGGTAGACCCTCCCTCAGATTTTAAGATCTTAACATTCAAAAGGAATGTTTTAATCCATGGAATCCATTGCTGATTCGCCCAATTCAGCTCTCAACACCACACCCGAAACACATCTGGGTGTAGCCAATATGTGCCAGAGAAAGTCATATTGAATAGAGTCCATTCTGCCAGAGACGGCATCTATCCAAATTTCCGCACCATAAAAGTACTGATTTATTACTTTGGAATTATATACCTTTATAGCCAAGGGGACAAATTCGCCACCTACTGTATAATAATACTTTACAATTGTCCTCCCTGTTCTTAGGGCATAATCCTTGTCAAGGCCAAATGTAGTTTCCACAAAAGGGATACATCAAAATGGATTCCCAAGTATTTAAATTGATTAACTTAAGCCATTGGTTGGCCTTCTATATGCCATCTTAAGGTTTTTGCTCTTTTCCGTTTATTCCATACTCCATAATTCAAGTTTTTCAGTGTATGTCTTCCGATACAGTAGTATAACAGAAAAAGACCACAATAATGTTGTTGCCATTACCAGTGCTGCAAATGTGGGTTCAAAGTGGTTTTAGCAGAATATATGTTTGACAGTGAGCTACTTTCTAGAGGAAGTGATTTTTGTTTAAACCACTGTATATAGAAGTACTCTTAAAAGCTGGGCAGAAGATATGCATTTCAAAGAGGGCTTCTACTTCTTTTGTAGGCTTTGACGTAGATACTCCAGATGATTTCGGCAGGACGTGTCTCCATGCAGCTGCAGCTGGAGGGTGTGTATCTTCATAGTTTCAAGCCATTTTTAAAATTTGGTGTTTGAAAGGATAAAAGGGAATTCTTTTTTTGATCATCCTCATTAATATTCATTGTTTCAAAGCTTGCAGTTCATGAAGAAATGTTTGTTCAAAATATTTAAACTGGCATATTATGAAGGTATATATATAATAGGACATCTCATTTACTAAAAAAAAGCTTTCAGTATCCAATTTTGTTTTTCAGAAACTTGGAGTGCCTAAATCTGCTGCTCAACACAGGTGCAGACTTCAATAAAAAAGACAAATTTGGAAGGTAAGTCATGATGATCTTTTTCTATACACAGAGGCTGCGGTCACACGGAGCAGTAGCCACGCTACTGAGACAGATGATAGGCGGATTTTCCGGGCGCGATCACACCGCAACATCTGGGAAGCGTAGAGCTGTCATGGCAAACCCGAGTCTCACTTCATCTGCCTCCGAAATCCAAATCTAGTAAATAAAGTTACTCTGTTCATACCAGTTCCCTCTCCCCATTGACTGTGAGGGAGCAAGATTTCTCCTTCCCACCCCAGCTACTGAGCAGTGACAACCAGATATCCTTACATCGGGCGTATGGATAATATAAAGTAATGCATGTATATCTGAATCTCACAATTACTATCTGAAAGCCAATCCAGGAATCTGGCATGCATGTATTGAATTTTATGTTTATAGGATTTTAAATACATAATTTCTGCGCACATATGTCCAGTACCATCTGAGGCAGTACAAGTATTAGAAGGGGGTGGTGGTTGTTATCTCACTTCCGTACTGTTTACAAAGTGATCTTGGATTATGGTGAGACTTGCATACTCTGTGCTATAATGTCACGTAAACATATATTTAATATAGTTTTTGAAGATATAATAGGGTGGAGTAAGGCTGGATTCACCTCAGTTAAGTGTGTACTCCTCTGATAAAATTCTTTCATAACTGAAATATTAAGAGAGAAATAGTTTTATAGTAGCTTTGTAAGCAGGTTAGGTGTCAGAAGCAGCTTTGTCACTATGTACGTAACTTTTTTTCTGATTAAATATACCATAGAACTCCGCTACATTATGCTGCTGCCAACTGTAATTACCAGTGCCTGTTTGCCCTTGTGGGTTCTGGAGCTAGTGTAAATGACCTTGATGAAAGGGGCTGTACGCCACTGCACTATGCAGCTGCATCTGATACTGATGGGAAGTAAGTATAGCATAATTTTCAGAAATCTTGTTAAGAACATCTGTGCCAAGTTGCTAGTCTAAATAATCATATGCATTTTATTTTTCTCCTTTTTAGGATATCATGTTAAAATAATAATATTGCTAGAAGGACACAGTGACAGTTGAGCTACTTTTGTTCTTCATATGTTCATTTTTCTGCATGAGTTAACAGTAGTAATAAAAGTATTTTTCGTTGGACGTCCATGTAAATAATGTCTGTCTCCTAAGACTTGAGGGGTCATTATTTTAAAATTCAGTTACAATAAAGGGGAGGGAAAGTTTCTTCATAAAAACATGACAGAACATCAACTATAAAGGAAGTTGTCAACATTTACTTTCTCTTTAATTGCATAGAGCTAAAAAAATTTTTTCTGAATAACAGGGAGAGTGTTGATGCAATATTAACTTTGCTATCTACCTTTGTTATCCACCTTTGTAAAATACAAAGAAGAATCTGTAAGTCCAGGAGATCCATTATAGGTGAATATACCGAACAGATAAAAGAGGAAGTTAGAGCAACAGTGACAGGGAAAAGAAACTACATATATTTGGAGGGAGTTTCCCCTAATGCAGTTATGTCTCATTCTGCGGGTGAATTGTTTCCTCCTCTCAGCCACTAACAGTGCTATTCTAAATAGAGTTAAATCCTTCTAAGCTCATTGACTTCATGTGGACTGTTCAGGATTGCATTGTAAGAGGCAGTACTGCAAATATATTGGCACTGTACTTGGGGGTAAACATTACCCATACCCTGTTCCTTCCAGTAGCTTGTTTTCTTTTACCTAAGGATTTTTTCCTGAAAAGAACTTTATGGATTACTAATTATGATGTGGTAATTGCTTGGATAGGTTAGTGGCAAAAGGAAACTGGGCTGCCAGAGAACACGGTGGCTAGACACCATAAAAGTCAACACCAGCCTGAGCATGGAACAACTCAAAGAAACAGTACAAGATCAGAAAACATGGAGAGACCCGGCTCATAGAATCACCAAGAGTCGAACATGACTGAATGGCTAATAACAATTGTTAGGTGTACATAGAAATAGTTCCAAAAGCACTTTCTGGTAGTGCAGTGTGGGACCCCAGGCAGATATATTTATCAATCCTGTTTTCAGTCTCTCCTGCATGCCTGGATTTCTCAGTTGCAGTCCAAAGTACCAGAGCACCTGTCAAATATGATGCCCTAGTTTGTGCTGAAATGTCTTGTCTGTTTTGCAGAGCCAGGAGCTTGAATTCTAAAAGTTGTGCTGTTAGGATTTGAAAGTGATTCAAAGGAAGTTCTTTGGAATCCTTAAATGATTACGTTTAGCAGTTTGTTCTTCTGAACATATGTTTTATGGTGATATCCAGATCTCTCTATTATTGCTTAAAAAATAACTGAACAATATTCACAATTCTGTTCCTGTATATTTGCAAATGAGTTGAAACTTGAAAAACCCTTTGTGTATTGTATAACAGGAACTGCTAGATGAGTTGTTTGACATACCCATTATTTTTAACAGATGTACATTACATCAGGTTCTTTTAAGTAATCTATAAAAATTCTAAACAAACAGTCTTGTACCAGTCTATGAAAATATTTATTTATTTATTTTAAACATTTATTACCTGCCTTTCTATCTTAACAAGAACTCAAGGCAGCTTACAATATAAACAAAACACACTAAAATACATAAAAGCCGCTAGTTTAAAATCAGTAATTTAAAACTGCTGGTGGGCAGTAGGACTGAAATTGATCAAATGCCATTGTGAATAAAATTATCTTCAGCTACCTCCTAAAGATTGAGAATGAGGCGGCCAGGCGCACCTTCCTGGGGAGGCTGTTCTACAATCATAGCATTTGTCACTGAAAAGGCAGTCTCATGTACCCACCAGATGAATTTCTGTGTCTGGTGGGACAGTCAAGAGTGCCTTTCTGTATGATCTTTGTTCCCAGTCAAAAGCATATGGGAGAAAAAAATTTAAACTGCAAAAAAAAAAAAAAAGCATATGGGAGAAGACCATCTATCAGATACCTTGGTGCCAAGCCATGTAGGGCTTTTAAGGTCAAAACCAACACCTTGAATTGGGCTTGGGAGCAGCACTTAGACCATCATTTTGGAATGCATATAATATTGTTTATTGTGTCAGAATGCAGTTTAAATAGTTTCAGATAAATTCAAATTTAGAAGGCATTCTCTATGAGGATAAAAGCATTAAAACATTGACTGTATTTCCTAGAATGTCAGCTAGAAAAAGTGATCCATAAAAAATGTAGGGGCTAATTATTTCTGTTCACTTTAAATAAGGAAATTTCCCAGCATTTTCAAAAGTACTTTTGTTAACCTGTATGGGAGAATGCTAACTCTAATGCAAACCCATAACAGCACTAAACACATGGACAGCGTTGTCACATTTGATGATGCCAGTCACCTGTTCATAGGGAGGAAGCTGAAAGGAGGCTGGTTTCAGGGTTCATGGGTTCCTCTAGTTGCTCAAAATACCCTTTATTTTTCTTAGGTGCCTGGAATACTTATTAAGAAATGATGCAAATCCAGGTATTCGAGACAAACAAGGATACAATGCTGTTCATTATTCTGCTGCTTATGGTCATCGCTTATGCCTTGAATTGGTAGGTGAACTTAACTATGAAAGTTGTTTAGCAGGAAATACTAGTTATA